CACTCAGGGCCCAGTTCTGCCCTCTCAACTCCTCACCCAGCTACCAGATGGAAATAACATCACTGATGTGATGTCACCTCCCCCACCTGCCCCTTAAATCTTTATTTATTTATTTGAAAGGCAGAGTGACAGAGAGAGGGGGAGAGACAGCCAGCCATATTGGCTTGGGCTGGGTCAGGTCAAAGCCAGGAGCCAGGAACTCTGAGTCTCCCACGTGGATGCAGGGGCCCAAGCACTTGCGTTATGTTCTGCTGATTTCCCAGGCACATTAGCAGGGTGCTGGGTTGGAAGTGGAGCAGCAGGGACTGGAACAAGTGTCCATATGGGATGCCAGGGTAGCAGGCGGCAGCTTAACCCACTGTGCCACAGCGCCAGCCCCTCGCCCCACTTTTTAATGAATGCTAATGGAACCAGGTACACCGTGGCTCCTCCTGTGCCCAAGGTAACCTGAAACTTCTTGGTAGGGTCTCCCACGGCCTGGTCCCAGTCTTGCTTCCCACTGAATCTTTCTCCTCCCCACCCTCCACAACTCTTGGTCCTCGAGTGACATGTATCTGCAGACCTCCTACCATACACTGACCTCTTAACGTGCTGTGTCTAATGCTACTCCTCCCACTAGGAACATTCAAATCTAACTCAAAACCCAGCTGAAAGTCCAGGTCAAACTCTACCTCCACTGCAGGAGAGAATTCAGGCTCTTCACCTGGAAATTCTTCTTCTACCTCCTCGGTGTATCTCTTGGGATTCTCATCAATGCCTCATTGTTTTCTATATTATTTATTGATTTCTTTACTTCATGTTTATTTGAAAGTCAGAGAGAGAGAGAGAGAGATCAACTGATCTTCCATCTGCTGATTCACTCTCCATATGCCTGCTACAGCCAGGGCTAGGCCAGGCCAACACCAGGAGCTCAGAACTCAATCCAAGTCTCCCATGTGGGTGGCAGGGACTCAAGTACTTGAACCACTACTGTTGCATTCTGGGGTGTGTGTTAGGGGAAGCTGGATCGGAAGTGGAGGAGCTGGGACTTGAACCAGGCACTTTGATACAGGATGCTGGTGTCCCAAGTGGCATCTTAACTGCTGCTCCTCACCCCTGCCCCACCTCCTCCTTTATCTCATTTACTGGGGGCAGTGTCTTTTCTCCACAGCCAGAGACCATACTTGGTAAGGACTCACTACAGTTACTTTGGTTCCTCTACAACATAAAATGTAACAGCATTGTTAATGAGTGATGGAGAACATTCCAGAACAACAGAACAGTAATCCACCTCAGGCCGTGTAGGTCAGGGGAGCAAGGGCTGAAGGAGACCCACCTGTAACTGTAAGAAAGTGCCACAGCTTTGCCCAAATGAGCCAGCGAACTTGGGGGTGACCAGAGATTCTCTTACAGAGAATTCAAAGGGTCTGAGGTGGAAAACATAGAAAAGTTTACTTCATCTCTCCACCACCAGCCAAAGCCTCTAGCTAATAATGTGTCAGGAGGGTGAACACTCAGGTCTCTGAGAGCCAAGGGCTTATGCAGCGTTCAGGGCAAAGACGGCCAGCTACTCTCAAATCTACTACCATCCCAAAGGAACCTGAACACAAATTCAGAAACTGCTTCCTGAAGAAGGCACCCGGGTTCCAATCGCCCGCTCTCCGCACCGCCCGCCGTGCCGGTGCCAGCATCGCTGCCTGGCTCAGGCGCGCAGCCCTCACGTGACTAACTCACCACCCTGGCTCTCCAAGGCTTCTCTCCGGCGAGTCCGCGCCCCAACCCCTTCCTGGCTCCCATTGCCTCTGAACCACGGCCAGAGCGATCTCACAGAGGCTGGATCTGATTATGCCACTTCCTTTCTTTGACGGCGTTCCTCTGCCAGAGAGGCAAGCCCGAACGCCGGCGGTGCTTTACCAGGGCTTTCATACCCCAGCTCAATGCGCTTTCCAGCCCTCATCTTCCTGCTCCCCGTGAGTCACCCCCAGAACTACAGTCATGTCTTCTTGCTCCTCCCTCTGCCTAAAGCTCTCTCCCCTGCCCCACCCTTCTCTCCTGACTGCAAGGTCAAGCTCAACTGACCCCCTCTGAGAACACCTGTCGCTTCCTCTATGGAGATAATCATGGAATGAAGACCAGGAACTACAATACCCACATGGGAGGTCATCTATTAAGACCCAGCCCATTTCTGTCCCATTCTTGAAGCCTTCGCATGATAACCATTCATGCTTACCAGAGAACCTGGTCTCATTTTGCCCATGGCTAGTTAATAGAAAATAGGAAAACTGAGTGCTTCCTGGGCGGAGTGTGATAATTACATGTTAAACTTTTTCTTTTGCAAAAATACCTTGGCAAAAGCACAGTGACATGTTTCTCTCACCTCATGCATTCATAATCATGGCATTTACTGGTTTAATATTAGAAATGATGACTCAGAAAGCTCTGATTCCCTTGTAACAAGACATACCAGCAACCAACAGCAAACGCACCGTCTTTGGCTACTGCAGTAGCTCCTGGAGGTAACGTTCATCAGTCGGGCACACATGTGGTCTTGTAAGACGGGCGAAGCAATGCCATTTGGTAAAACGAGTAACTCTACAGGGCAGGCAACTTGGATTCCAACTCCAATCTCACCACTGTCTACTTTAACTACCTTTGGCACCCCTGGCATCGTAGATGAGGGAAATGAAACATTTTTAAAGTCGTGAAAGAAAGGAAATCTGTATGAAACTCCAGGGCTTGGGCATTATTCTTGCAACAAGAAGAGACTTATTGCAAGTTTACGTTCAATGGACTGCAGCTTCCTCTGTACTCCAGTGTCCGGCAGCGAGAGCAGACAACTGCTACTGAAAAGACGAGGGCGGGAAAAATGGACACGCTTCAGTCTCACAAACAATGTGAATGTCACAGGAAAGCAACAGTGTGGATACACCCAGTGCACAAGACCCAAGAGATTAAAATAAAGTATTGGACAGCTTCTGATTCCTAATAAATTACTGTAAAAAAAAAAAAAGTACAAGTATCTCATAACAAATCATTCGCTGAGTGGCACACTATGTCAACACCAGCCTTGACAGGTGATTGGTTCAGCTGGCTTCGTCCAGCAGAAGGCAGATGGCAGAATGGCTGCATTTATATTTATCAGCAGGCCAAAAAAAATAAAAGATCCTCAACATTCGACTTTCCTCACTTTCAGCTTCACGGGAAAGTCTGTGTAGAAAAAGGCCTAATTCCAACGTTTATTTATGAACCATCTTCGCTCTCAGGGTTGCCAAGGTACCCATCAGAGGACATTCATGCAAGAAGTGAAAAACCTTGGTGTTTTACTTTTGCAAACTTAAAATTTAGTGGTAACAGAGAATAAATAGCCATAAGCAGAGTTGCAAATCGTTAATCACTGAGTTTCTGTCTCAGGTGGAAAGGCTTTGTCATGATCAGCACCAAGTTCACATTTCTATAGCTACAAATTTGGAGGTGCTTATAATGGCATTGGCTGCTCTTATTTGTAACATTTCAGAATGCACTAGAGAAAAGACACAGGGTACACAAGGATCTTTGAAAATAAGCACAGGGTTGTTTGTGGCCCGGAGCTCATAATATTTATTTTTGGAGAAGTGCTGCTCTATTGTCTGATTTTGAAAAATTTGCCCTAAAATCCAGTTGTCACTGATTTACAAGAAAAGAAAAATGCTCATAGTTAAACTACGACATGCTTTCGCATCATCCACAGTGAAGACTCACCTTGATTTCAGAGATGCTAAAATGTGCGGACACATCTATCTTGAAATCAATACAGCAGGGCTTATGAAAAATGCTGCTCTTCTGATTAAAACGAATCAAAGGAAACACTGTTTCAAAGTGTCCTCAGCACACAGCACAGGACGGGAGTGCCTTTCGATGGAGTCAGCCTTAGGGGTGCTTTCAGAACCTGATCAAGACCTTCCCTCTTCAATAGCACCTGGCAGAGTGAAGCTATCTGACACTTGCCCCTAAGCCAGGGGTCACTCCTGGATGGAGCTATTTTGCTCCATCAGGAAGCTTGAAGCTGCCTAATTATTCTCCCCCTGGCAACACCAACCATTGCAATTCCGTGTTGCACCGTTTGCAACGTGCCAACTTATTAAACTAAGCAACCAGCCAGCCTCCAACATCTCCCCTCTGCTTCTGCTCAGAAAAACCCTGTCATTTCTATCGATGGACTTGAAGCAACACTAGTCCCCCTTGGAAAGGTTTGAAAATACAATTCCAAGGAAAGCTGGCTTCAGAGAAAGACATGTTTACAAGCACAGAGGAATTTTCCTCTCCATGAGTAACCCTGGCCAGGGCAGCGCCGAGAGTGAAACTGTCTTACGAACAACAACAACAAAAGCAGCAGCAACGCGGAACAGGGGAGAGTGGTGCCACTGTCCTCCCAGCGGGATGGACGCCGGCCTTCTCGGTCCTAGGGCTGCCCATGAATAAGCGCTTTCAGGGGGACCGAGCCCATCGTCCCTTTGCCCAGCTTGCACTGCGTGCAAACAATATCACTCTTGTTGGAACACAAACGTTCACAAGATACTGACTTCTGACCCTGCCACTGGGTGCCAGCGTCTATCGTCTGTTCTTCTGTTCCTGTCTATTTTCAGTGGCTTAGGACACACACTTGTTTGGCAACGAGATCCACCCTTGACCCCATACAAAACATAAAAGTACACTGGAATGTTCTTTCAAAGTCCGTATTCTCCAAACCATCTGATGGGGGGCGAACGCACCCTAAGTTAAACCTAGAGTCGTCCACTTAGGACCATCAGTGACGCATGCGCTCCTACTGGCTCAAAGGTGAGCCCCTATTTCTACACGACTTACTTTTGAGAAGAGCTCTCTTATAAATCCAGCATCTTGGGGGTCCCCCATTTTCACGAAGGAGCGGAGGAACCCCATACTTAAAGAATTTAAAATCAATGGTTCTTTCCTTTGAACAGAAAGCCAGGCAGAAGCACTTCCCACCCCTTTAAGCCCGCGCTCCCAGGAGGAAAAGGGCTTACGTGCTCAGGCTTCTCCGGTTCCTTTCTGTCCGTCTGCAAAAACTGACAGTTTTCTCGCGCCAGCTTCTGGACCAGTTCAATCCGTCCCATGTCATCTCTCTCTTGAAGCTTGCACATCACCCCTGCCTTAAGAGTTGGGGAGAAAGCGAAGATGTACTTAAATCCACAATCCCAGGACATCACACCACCGCCAAGGGCACCTTTAGAATAAACTCATTTTTTTTTTCCTTCGCCTGGGTTAGATCATGGTCTTGGTACAATGGCTTGTCTTTCCAAAACGGGAGTCATTTTAACCTAGGAACGCTATGCCAAAAGGACCTGAGGTTGAGATCATGGATCAGTCTACTCCGAGAGCGAACGGCAGAGCCAACTAAACCATTTGCTACTACGTGTGCGGCTGATATGCCACTATTTGTTTGTTCCTGACAGCCTGTTTCCTGTTACATAAGCAGAGCCTAGCAAGAGGTTAAAAACTCATGGGAAAGTTCGCCAGGAACCACTCTGGCAAAAAGGGTGAAGAGATACAGAGCCCTAAAAATAACAGGCTACCACCTCCCAAGTTTTTAACTCTAGTACATCATCCCACGCACAAATACACGGTTAACCCAAAGGTTACAGCATGAGCAGCATGAGGGTTTTTTTTTTTTAAACAACTGGAAAATTACTACAGAACATTCATAAAATACTTCCAACCTTATATGAAAAAAGGGAAAACTTTTTATTAGCAATAAGCGACTGGAAAAAGAAAGCTTGCAGCTCTACTCAGGAGGGCTTGGAAAAGACCCATGAAGCATCAGCGAGGGTTAAAGGTGACCATGAGGAGGGAGGCACAGCCAGGGCTTGATTAGAAAAAAACCACACACCATTCTTAGCTCCGTCTCACATTCTTTCCAAAATGCTCCATACTGATGTCTCAGGACAGGAAGAAACCCAAGGTTTCTCTAGGCAGGAGCAGGCCAGACTACAGAAACTGTTTTACCCAGCATGACCTGCAGCATGGGGACATATGGAAGAAGATGAACAAACATGGGCAGGGGCCGGTGGAGCTGCCCGGTCCTGGTCCCAGCGGTTTGTGCTAAGACACTCGTGTTGCTGACCGGGCACTGGAGAGACGGTGCCTAAGGCTGCATTCCCAAGGGCAGTGACTGCTCTTTATCGAGCAGCTAATCTAAGTAGGAAGGAAGGAAACACACAAGAAGATCCTTGCAATGGCCCAAATCACAGATTCCCAGATGCAGGGAGTGGAGCTCCCTCCACCACCGTCAGAGATTTATTTTTACAGTGGCCGTTATGAGTGGGTCTCCAGTCCCCTCCTGGATTTCCTGGACATGGATCTCAGTTTCTCTTTAGACACTGGTTGGAAAGCCCCTGACCACACGAGCCAAAACCCTAGTCTTCTCCATGAACTTCAACCACGAGCACCAGTTTGGCTTTTTAAAAATGCTGGGAAACACGCTCGTCCCTTATCCAAGATGACAATCTTCCACAAATTCTTAACTACAAAGATTTATTATATCCTTCTTTTAATCTTCTCCAGATATGTATCTCTAGTTCTATAATTATTTTATTCATTTATTCTTTCACTCATGCAACAGATTTTTTTTTAAAAAGATTTATTTTTATTTATTTGAAAGGCAAAATGACAGAGGGAGGGAGGGGGGAGACAGAGAGAGAGAGAGAGAGAGAGAGGCAGAGGGAGAGTGAGCAAGCTCTTGCATCCACTGATGCACTCTCCAGATGGCTGTAATAGTTTGGGCTGGCCAGATCAAACCCAGCAGCCAGGAACTCCATCCGGGTCTCCTAGGTGGGTGGCAGGGGTCCAAGTATTTGGGCCATCTTGTCTTCCTGGGGGCATTAGCAAGGAGCTGGAGCAGAAGCCGAGCAGCTGGGACTGTAACTGGGGCTCTGAAATGGGATGCCGGCATTGCACTCAGGTGGTGGCTTGAGCAGTCGCACCACAGCGCTGGCCCCTCAAGCAGCAGGCTTTGTGCGAACAACACTCTACTAGGTTCAGGGCATAGGTTCAGCACCAACTGCATCTCAGAGCTCACAGGGGACATCAGTCATGTGTGGGGAGCAATCCGGACTAGACTAAGTTACTCGAATTAGGACTTATTCTATGCATCTGCTCTCCCACAATATGGCGCTGGGAGAGAAGTAAACAGCTTCCGCACAGCTGCCTCCAGTTCAACCAATTAACTGTAGGACTTGCTCCTGATTGGAGAGCAGCGTACTCGGCGTGTGGGCAGCCGAGTTGGGATTGGCGGAGAAGGACTATAAAGGAGGAGAGAAACGGCATGCACCGGGGAACATCTATGGGGAACATCTAAGGGAACCCGTGCAGCCCCCAGAGAGCCGGCCGGCGGTGTGCCGCTCCCCTGCGGAAGTGGGGAATGTGGCCAGGGGGAACTGCCCTTCCACGGAGGTGGAAGGGATAGTAGCCAACCCGGGAAGAACCAGCAGCAAACCCGGGGAGGGCCGAGCAGACGAAAGAACAGCGCAGGGTCCTGTGTCGTTCCTCCACGAAGAGGGGGAGCGACAGTCATGCAGTACCCAGACAGAACCCTCCCAGGGAGATGTAGGAAGGAAGGGAATACAGCAGGGAGAAGGGACAGAAAGGTGGGCAGGGGCAGTGTTAGGATGGGAGTGTCCGGGAGAATTCCCTAGCAAGGTGACGCTTCCCAAAGGCGGCGAGGAAGAAGTGATGAGCACACCAGGACAATGTGTGCCAGGCCTAGGGGCAGCGAGCACACCGGCCCTGAGGTTTGGGTGTGTCTGACTGACTCAAGGACCAGCAAAGGGAACAGCACGGGAGAGCAGAGCTGGGAGGAGGGAGACGAGAGGTGACACAGGACAGAGCCCATGGTGCCCTTACAGGCTGTCTAAGAAGTCTGGCGTGGCACTTGTGTTGAGACTGGTGCAGAGACTCCAGATATATTCAAAGGGGGCCGATGCTGTGGCGTAGCGGGTAAAGCCACCGCCTGCAGTGCTGGCATCCCATATGGGCACCAGTTCAAGACCTGGCTGCTCCACTTTCCATCCAGCTCTCTGCTGTGGCCTGGGAAAGCAGCGGAAGATGGCCCAAGCCCTTGAGCCCTGCACCCATGTGGGAGACCCGGATGAAGCTCCTGGCTCCTGGTTTTGGATCAGCACAGCTCTGGCTGTTGCAACCAATTGGGGAGTAAACCAGCGGATGGAAGACCCCCCCCCCCGCCCCGCCTCTCCTTCTCTCTGTGTAACTTTGACTTTCACATAAATACATAAATCTTTAAAAAAAAAAAAAAAGGGAAGCTCAGCAGAATTGGATGTTTGGGAGTCTCCAAAAGATTTGGGCTGAGCAACCGGAAGGACAGAGCTGTCATTTACTGAGATTAGGAGGACGGGGAGGTGTCTACTCGGCAGCCAAGTGGGGTTCCAGGGCTGGCAGACTGGAGGTTCCAGGGAGAAGGCCAGCTGGAAACATGAAACTGGGAGTCATTGGAACGCCTCTGGTTCTACCGGCAGAGTGATGGCAGCCCGAGGTTTAGCTACCAGGAAACGGGGAGACCTAAGGGGAGGAGATGAAGGAGGGCAGGTTCCAGAGAGTCAACGGGGAGACTGCTCGTGCAGCACGGCCGGCGAGTGCCGACTGACTGACAACAGTAACTGCTGGTGTGGGAGCTTTATGGGCTTTGGAGGTGACTTCCCAGCAGGGCAGGACAGGGAGGGGCCCTGGCTGGGGAGTGACCTGTGCCTGTCTATCGCACGGTGACAAGCATTGCTGGTTCTCATCTTTATCAAACAGTGTTCCGTGGGCAAGGAAAGTTGATGATGTAGGAAGAAGACGGGCATCTTCAAGTGTCATGTTCTTGAGTAGGAGAGATAGAGGTCTCCCCTCAGAGAGAAACGTGACCATAGATATGGCAGGGCTGGCACTGTGGCATAGTGGGTGAGGCAGCCACCTGCGATGCCAGCATCTCGTATGGGCACCGGCTGGAGTCCTGGCTGCTCCACTTCCAATCCAGCTCTCTGCTATGGCCTGGGAAAACAGTGGGAGATGGCCCACGTGCATGGGCCCCTGCACCCACGTCAGAGACCCAGATGAAGCTCCTGGCTTGACTTTGGTCTGGCCCAGTCCTAGCCATTGTGGCCATTTGGGTAGTGAATTCAAGATCTTTCTCTCTCATTCTCTCTGTAATTCTGCCTTTCAGATAAATACATAAATCGTTAAGTAAATAAATATCCCATGCACTGGGACAGCAGGAAGATGAAGTTCAAGAGTAAGTACACAGGCAGGTTGGCACGAGCAGCCACGTTGTTAGCTGAGAGTAAGGACTGTGGGGAGAAGATACGGCAAAGCCCAAGAAGCGGGGGTACAGTCTTTGTCTAGGTTGTAGGTGCCGGCAAACTTTTCCTGAAAAGAGCAAGAGAAGAAATACTCCAGGCTGAGCCCAAGAACGACAAGCAACGATGCCCAAATCCACACACAACTACATCCCAGTGATATGGAAGCTGCAAAAACAGGCAGTAGGCTCTGGTTTCTCAACTCTCGACCTAAGAGGAAACCAGACAAAAGAAGGAGAATAAGATTGTCAAACATTACTAAGGGCACACCTGCTAGTATTTCTTTTCTTTTTTCTTTTTTTTCTTTTTACAGGCAGAGTGGACAGTGAGAGAGAGAGACAGAGAGAAAGGTCTTCCTTTTGCCATTGGTTCACCCTCCAATGGCCGCCGTGGCTGGCGCGCTGCGGCCGGCACATCGTGCTGATGTGATGGCAGGAGCCAGGTACTTATCCTGGTCTCCCATGGGGTGCAGGGCTCAAGCACTTGGGCCATCCTCCACTGCACTCCCGGGCCACAGCAGAGAGCTGGCCTGGAAGAGGGGCAACCGGGACAGAAGCCGGCGCCCTGACCGGGACTAGAACCCGGTGTGCCGGCACCACAAGGTGGAGGATTATTGAGCCACGGCAACGGCCGGTATTTCTTTTTAAGATCGATTTATTTATTTGAAAGGCAGAGTTACAGGAGAGGGAGAGACAGAGATTGATCTCGCATCCACTGGTTCATTCCCCAAATGGCTGCAAAGGAAAAGGCTAGAGCAGGCTGAAGCCAAGAGCCTGGAGCTCCCTCCTGGTCTCCCATGAGGG